GTAATTCTAAATAGAAGATAATTGTAAATGATTGTATGATAGTAAATCTTTATTTTCTAAAATCTTAAAAAAAAATGTAAAATAATATTTGATAGTATATTTGGTTTTTAAGTTATAAATAAAAGAGTTTTTAAAATATAATGTTTTACTTTTCAAAATCATAAGAAAAAAGATAATTTTAAGAAATTATTAATAGTAATTTAAAACATAAAATTTTGATGATAAACATTGTACTAAAAAAATTTAATTAACTAAAAAAAATCAAACATAGGATTTTGTCGTGATTGGTCTTTATATTGGTATTTGTATGTGTTTGGTCATACAAAAACAAAAACATGTTTGATATATTTTTGTATTTGGTCATAAAATAGATTATTATTATTATCAACGTAAATTATTTTTATGTGTTTAGTCAAACAAAAATCATGTTTCATCGTAATCTTATTACATCTGTGTTTAATATATAATGTTTCTAATCTATTTTATTAAACTGTTGTTATGTTGTTATGAAAATATATCATTAAAATGAATTTAGGAAATTATTTAATAACAGATAAATTTAGTAAAATGGCCTAATTGTTAGTTGAAAATAAGAAACAAGTACACATAGGAAAAAGTTACAAATTCAAAAAGTGGAAAAAGTTAAAGAGATTGTTTAAGTGCTATAACTTGAATACCATTTTTAATACTACATAAAAAACTCATAACAAAAACTCATAACATCTGAATTTAAGATTTAGTATGTAGATTTTAATATTTAAGAGATGAAACTAAGTTTATAAAATTATATAAAAATTCCAAATGATATATATGATACTAAATATCATATACTTAAAATGAAATTAGAAGAATTTCTTAATTACTTTTAAGATCGTCTTCTTCAACTTTATTAGAATATATAATAAAATAACTTATTTATTTATTTAAGATTTATCAATCACAAAATAAGAAGTGACAGTTGTATGATATTGTCATTGACATGATTGGTCTTATTTAACTTTCAATTTTTTTTATTTCACTCTAATTCTTAATTCGAACTAGATTTAGTTTAAATTAAGTTTGAGTATTTTCTTTGGTCTTAGGTACAAAGTTAAAAAAAATCTCTTATGTGTCATGATTATTAAAATACAAATATTTATCAATATTTATGTGGGTTAATAAATTCTAAATTCTAAAATAAATCTCACACAACATATACAAAAATAATCCTAAAATATAAAATAATTTATTATTTCATGTCCTTTATAAAACTAAAACATCAAACAAAATCCGTGCTTATTAAAATATAAATACTAATCGGAACTTTTATGGAAAAACGAATTCATAATTTATAAAATAAATCTCACACAACATATAAAAAAAATAAAACTATAAAATGAATTATTATTTTTATATTTTATAAATATTAAAATATCAAATAAAATCCGTGCAACACATGGATCCATATCTAGTTATAATATAATAGGTCAGCACACAAGGATTTGTTGGTAACAAATAATATTTTAGTTTTTGACCAAAACAGTATTTTAAATGATCATGTTAATTGTTTATAATAATAAATACTATAAATGTAATATAAATAAAACAAACTAAAAGTTAAATATATAATATCATGTAGTGTGGATACGTCCCTAGTAATCTATAAAACAAAATCAACCATATGAACGCAACATGGCATCGTAGGATACTATACTGTATATAACAATTATCCATTCCTATATGAGCGAGCACAAGCATATAGTTCACGGCTACTAATTTTCTTAGTTTCTTGTAATTTTAATAGTACCTTTAATTTGAAACTACGGCAACCATTGGATCTAAGCAACCTTTGAAACAATTCAATCTAGAACGTCAAAGGACCAAATTTAAGCAAAAAAATAAACGCCAAAGGCTTGTGATAAAAGACGATGTCCCAATTGAGACATGTTGTGATAAAAGTCAAACAAACGGGTCAATCTGTAGAGGAAAATAACAACAATACAAAACAATCACTGTATTATAAACTAGTAATTAGCAGAACTACAAGAAGTAGTTCAACAACTCAGCCTTAGACCGTCACATAGACGACCGAGCCCAAATATAACATTGGGGAATCAGTTCTGTTCACAAAACAACAACACCTCGTGTCCAAACAAACGCAAATACTTCACATTTTGTTCACTAGATTTTGATCGCATTTTCAAAACATAGATTTTGATCCACATTTTCAAAACATAGAAATTATTTTTTAAACAAACCAAATTTATATGATATAAATTTCCATTTCTATTACATAGCTACATTTTAATATTACACATGAAGCGATATATTTAGTGTTTAGAAACACGAATCAGATCCATAGTTGACTAGACACTAATATTTGTTACTCATCAATACTTGTTACTTGATTTATACTCGGCTTGAAAAATCAAGTACACGGCGTTTTCAAGACAAGTAACAAATATGCAAATTTTATTATTCACAAATACAAGTCAAGTATCAATATTTTTTTTAATATTAGGCTCGTTACTTGTTTTATTACTTATATTAATTCTAAAAATTTGTATTATCCCTTAATATACTTGTTTTACTACTGTTATTGTAATTAAAAAAAATTAGCTTTTTAGATATTTAGTGTAATACATACTTCTATTCAATGAATAATATATACACGCAGTAAATCAAATAACTTGAACAAACTAAGTAAAACAACAAATATATGAAAAAAACTTATATATTCCACGTTAACCAAAACTTATATGTTTTGGTATATTTAATTTCAAAATTTAAACCTAAATAAACAAGTATCAAATATTATCAAGTAATTTGCAAGTATTTAAAATATAGGCAAGTACTTCACTAGCTAAGTATTTGATCGAATCAAGTATAAGCACAAGTAAAAACAGTTAGTACTTGCACAAAGCAAGTCAAGTACCAGGTAGGGCGAAAACCCTAAGTACCTGACTTGCATATAGGCCTAGTTAAACCGATTAACCTATCACTCTAATGAAAACCGGTTTGGTTTTCTATAAAAACTTTTTATTTAAAAATTCTATAAAACTCGGAAAAAACGTTAAAACCTGGGACCCGGCTACCAGTTAAACCTATGGCTGACCTATTATATATTAAAATTTAACTTAAATTTTTATATTTTAATTATTTTAATTTATGAATGTCTAGATGAATAGTGAATATATTATGAATGTGATTCTCTAATTGTACAAAAGTTAACCATACAAATATTTAGTCAAACAAATTTATCATCTTTTTTTGTAATTGTACTGGATTAGTATTTGAGAGGAGATATACTAAAATAAAAATAAATTTGAACAATGATTCGTATACAATTATTATTTAGTTTACTTTATTGTTCACATGTTACTAGAATTTTTTCGACGTTTTGTTTTGGTTTGTTTTAAATTCATTATTCATATTAGACATTTTAATATTTATTAATTTTTATTTTTATATATTTTTATTATATGTCTAATAATAATGTCTATTATTATATTTTGATCTGCACTTTAAAACATGCGATAGATTTTAATTCAAAAAATTTGTACTAAAAAGCAGAAACATTTGTTTTAAAAGTATATATAATAAAATTAAAACTTACCTGAATATAATTTTATGCAAATAAGATAATTCATTTATTTAACCTGGCTCATATTCATTTTACTTATCTTTAAAAAAAATTCTAGTACAATTTAAAAAAAAAAAAATTAATATATGTAAAACTTATTTGTCAGCATTATTATACAAATTAACTATTGTCCTTTTACTCGTCTCATACTTGATAATATATTAAATAATTTTAATAGTTTAATTTAAATATGTACATTAACTTATGAAATTATTTATTATTTTGATATCATACTCTGGTATTTTGTTAATAAGTTGAAGTATGTTTTAAAATTCATGAATATATTTTAATTTATAAAATTGTTAATAAATTGAGTAAGTTACTTTATATTTATTATTTGGTGTAGTAATTTAATTATGAATATAAATTATGTAGATATGCATATTATAGAAATGTTATTTCTTATTATATAAATGATTATGAATTAGTATTCTTTTTTAATTATATTTAATCTTAATAATGAATTTATTATTTAAAATAAATATTCAAAAGAAATGTATATTAACATTCTAAATAAAAATATTAAAAATATTATTAAACTCTAATATTAGCAAAAGATATTTAAGAATATCTTTTTAGATATTTTATTTTAAAAATATTAAAATAATTAGTTATATACAGTATATAGCAATAATAACTAAGTCTCAGAGACACACGGTCAAACTAGCGGAAACAAAATCAATGCTTTGGGCTGGAACTCAGGTGTCGCATAGACATAGGACAAGAAAAGTCATGGCTAGTTTCTCGTCTCTTCATTCTGAGGTAGAAGTGCTAATTTAGGCAATGGAGTGTATGAAGAATTTACATCAGCTTCATGTTACTTTTGCAACGAATTATTATAAAATGGTGAAGATGGTTTCAGAACCAGAAAAATGATCAGTTTTTGTAACTTATATGGAGGATATCAAGACGCTGAAGGAAAGCTTCCTCAGCTCAGAGATCATCTATATACCAAGAACGCAAAATTTATGGACGGACAGTCTAGCATATTGTCCAAGAAAACAACCGTCCTTTGTCGTTCATATGGATACAGAGATACCAGTTTGGTTTGCAGAGTCAGAAATTATAAGTATGTTTATGTTGATGACAATAAAAATATTAAAACTAACTAAATTAGTTGTAGGAAAATAAATAGAAAATTAAATAAATTTAATAGTCTAGTACAGACTATTTGTAAGTAGATAAATATTGCTTCTGATTTATTAATATTGATTTGTCATTATTCTAGTCCCTCTAACTCCTTATTTATATCTTTCATTCAACCCCCAAAGTCTCAACAAAACCAATCAAACAAACAAACACAACTCAGCTCAACTCAATAAAACAAAAACTGAATAGGATTCTATTCTCTCAAAACACATCATAAGGAAACATGAAAATGGGAATGTGTTTAGTGTTTCTTACAGTTTTTATGGCTATGATGTCTTCTATAAGAGTCTCTGCTCAGTCGAGTTGCACAACTACGTTGATCAGCATGTCTCCCTGTCTCAACTACATAACCGGAAACACTACCTCTCCTTCTCAGCAATGCTGCAGTCAATTGGTTAACGTAGTCCGGTCTTCTCCTGATTGTTTGTGTCAAGTCCTCAACGGTGGTGGCTCTCAGCTCGGGATCAACGTTAACCAAACCCAGGCTCTTGCTTTGCCTAGAGCTTGTAATGTTCAGACTCCTCCTGTTAGTCGCTGTAACAACGGTAAGAGTTTTTCAAGAAAAGCACTTCATTAAGATTATTCCAAAACATGTAAATCTTGTGCAGTACTCTTCAATTTTTTCAGGTGGTGCTTCTACTGCTGACTCTCCTGCAGACTCACCAAACTCTTCAGGTAAGACTTTAAACAGATGTACGTAAGAAACACCAAACTCAACATGGCAATATTCTTGGGTAAATTTTTGTTAGGACCAGGAAATGGATCAAAGACTGTACCAGTAGGAGAAGGACCATCGTCTGACGGAAGCTCTATCAAGTTCTAATATCCTCTTCTTACCTTCCTTTCTGCAGCTCCTACATGGCAATCTTCTTCAAGTACTGATTTTCTCCATCCATGTTTCTACTGAAACCGATCAAGCTTTTATACCAGTCAGATTGCATTCTTTATTTTCCCTATCTATCCATATTTCGTTGGGAATGTGTGTTTGTCCTCTATGAATCCCTACTCTCCGGGTGATATTTGTTTGTAGCAAAAGGGAGCATGTTGGATCTCTTTACCTTTTAAAATAAACACTACTTTTTCAGAACACAGTTTGAAGAAGAGAACATTAGCTTTTTTTTTTTTTTGAAACACCGAACATTAGCTTTGTGAATAAATATAAATATTGGCTTCGAGGGTAACAATCTATATGTTTTGTGTTCAAACACAGACCTAGAGATAATATATAAAGGATATTGGAACGAGGAACTTGTATCTAAGTTCACATGAAAGATAACATCATATACAGTATGAGTGACAGACTTTAAGCGGAGAGCATTAAAAAAAAAAACAGAAGACAATGAGTATATATAGAGTAACCCTGACCTTGTATGCATATACCGTTTACCTATCAAAAAGTAATAAGAAGCCTTATAAGTTGAAATCAAATACTGCAGTCTGCAGATAATACGAGGTACAAAAGATAACTGAGACTGACCCGACGAAGAGATTGTGAAGCTGATACTTCATTTTTTTACATGGACAAGAGCAGAAATACGTGAATTAATTCAGTACCTGTGTTTCTGTAACTCGAGCTATTCTTGCTAGAAATGTTTGGATCACTGGACTGGACTGTCTTCACAGCTCAAGCTAAATGGTAAGTTAGAAACTTCCTCACCCATTCATCGGCTAGTCTTCTTAAAACATAGAACTTCAACCTGTAACAATCAAGATGACATGAAGATAACCACGAGGGCTTGTGTTTCCACACACATTACGCCCATTTACGCCAGAGTTTCAAGTCTCTGAATTTTGTAAATGTTATAAAAACTGTTTGCATTGCAGGCATCTATATAATGTATATAATAATAATATATCCACCTTTCGAAGAGACCAAGCAAGACACTTCGAACAAAGCTGATGAACAATTTAACAGAAAACAATCACATTGCATAACATGTTCACTGTGTTTATCTCGCTAGTGTAACAGATAGTATAAAGATAATCAGTAACAAGAATGAAAGATGATACATAAAGTGACTTTCTACAGCTACTTGATGCTAAGAATGCGAGAGGATATGTCTGTAGAAGAAGCCATTGAACTGGTGGACAAATGCATACTTGAGATCCGATCAAGACTGGTCGTTGCGCCACCAAACTTTGTGATCAAGATTGTTGACAAAGATGGAGCTCGTGATTACGCCTGGCGTCAGTCTGTACAAGACGTCACAACTGCTGCTGTCTGAGTTGGTTCGTGTTTTATTCCAGAAGTTAGGTTTATTCAGCTGTGACATTTGCTTTTGTTGGGAGATTATGTTTTTGACAATTTTTATTTAGTTTGAGAATCAACATTAATCATCAAGCAAATGACATATTAATATTACTTCAAACATTACAAATTAAATCTCACTAAGAACAATAATAATACCACAAAGCAAATATGCACGAGCTTATTATTCTACCACGCATTAATCAAATCACATGGGGGAATACAAAGGTAAGCAAAAATGAACAATGAAATCAGTAGAATTGGAGAGCAACGAGGCTGATGCCGAAGAAGAGAAGAGATGGGGAGAGAGCATAGGCGGATGAAGGAGTGAGAGAAGGTCGACTGGTGCTTCCACCGTTGTCAGCCGACGGACCTGCACCGTCCACTGCTGGTGTAAAAGGCTGAGTTGCATCAGACTGTGGTGTCTGAGCTGCTGGAGTCGGTCCTGGAACAACTGGAGTTGTTGCTGGACCTGGAGACATCCCCGGTCCAAATGTACCAGCAGGTCCTGTTCCACACAATACAAACTCTCATCAATTTATATTCCAAAAGCTAACTAATTATGTGATTTTTTGAGATAATGATATAATTCATTGCTTACCAGGAGCAGCAGCTGGAGCAATATTGGCTGTTCAAAAAGAAGACCAACCATAAAATTAGATAATATTCAATCAGCCACAAAAAAATATAACGTATAGTCTATAGAGGGGGTACTATAGTATTTATTTGCCTTTGCATTGAAGAGGAACTCTAGGCATGTTACAAGCACGGGGAAGAGAGACAGCGGTTGTGCGGTTAACCGGAATATTAAAAGGAACACTTCCGGTGACAATAAGACATAAACATCCCATTCCTCCAGTGGTCAAAGACCTCAGCGAGTTACAACAATCAGACGACGGCGAAGTTCCATTGCTTGTGCTGTTGGTTAAGAAACTCATACAAGGACCAACAGTGGTCATCATCGACGGTGTACACTGGCTAAGTGGCGGTTGCTGACTGCTAACCGGAAAAGCTAGCAGTGAGAGTAAAGCCACGAAGACGGTGATAACTAGAATCTTTGACATTGTTGATTGATTAAGCTTTGTTTGTGGTTTTGTGTTTGAAGTGTGTTGTGTGTTTTTGTGATTGGAAGTAAGTAATTGGGAGATATGTTTATATAGATGTTTATATAGGTATACAAAAGTTGAGGGAACGAAGGAAGTTTGTACAAGTTAACTAACTAATTACAGTATCTTCTTTTTCGTTATTAGGGTCGTTACTGATAGCACTAGCTAATGGGATCCATACACGTGTACGAAGGAGCGTGGTAGATGGCCGACTAATGTGTCTTGGGCTGTATTTAGATGAACTACTCTCCTAGGGTTGTTCTGTTTTGGTAACTGAACAAGAGAATCATTTTTACTAATCCCGTTAATAGACCCGGCTTACGAAAGTAACAAAAAATCACACGTTGTCAACAATGGAAAAGATATTGGAATGCTTTAGGTAAAATGATGATAGCCTAAGTAACGTCTTGTAGGACAGTACACTTTTATAGATATTCAACAAACAAAACTACATCATAATAATTCAAACTAAGAGTTTGATTGGTATAGCAGATGATAAAACAGTAGCATTATGCTGTAGAAACAATATGTTGCAGAAACTGTATGTTTTCATTAAATTTTTTAATAAAATAATTAGCAGAGCAGTAACAATATATATTTTTAAAAGTATCATAATAATTAATATAATTATATATTTATAAAATAATATTTATAAAATAATATTTATAATATATATTAAAAATATATTTGATATTCAAAATAGAGAAATTGCAGTCGATATACATCATTAATTGAATAATTTGCAAAGAGGGAATTCAGCATTTCTCGCTGATGTGTTTTTTCTTATTGTCTATATTACCCCTATTAATTATACAAAATATTCTAAAAGCCTAACTTGTATACAAAAATTTATATCTCTATACAAAACACCTATACACTCTTTATTTCTAAAACGACAATCCCATCTCTCATCTTTCCCATTCTCATTGTTTACTCTGTTGGAAGTTTTCTTACAAACTAATCAAATTCTCTCCAGATTATCAAGATTTTGTACAATAGTAAGTTTTCTCCCATAAAATCTTGTGATATTTTATCTCTCTCATCTCTTCTAATTCTCTCATCCTCTTTTTTTACAGAAATTTCTTCTTCACCTTTTGCATGTTTTTGGATTTTCACCAGATAAAGGACAAAAGAAATGTTTCAAAAAGGAAGATAATAGGTTCACATATATTTGACCCCAAGACAGAGATGGATTCAATTTTTTCTCTCACCATGGTACATCTCCAAATGTTGATTTCGGTTCTGATTTCAACATCAGGAATTCTTCGACCATTTACTTTGCATCGAAATCATAGGTGGGCGTCAGATTCTAATTCCGATGGTGAAGGTTTCATATCCCAAATCCATAATATTCTCACATACTTCAAGGTTGACTTTAAAGTTGATTGCTTTAAATTCCAACACAAAGCTTATTACATAGCTCATTGTTGTTTTGTAATTTTGGTGTGTATATGGTCTGCTCAAAGTGGGTAAGATAAACATTATACGGCTTAGCAATATTAATATGTGTCTGGATACTTGTTAAAATGACCAGTTAAATGACCGGTTAAGATAAACATTATACGTATCTAAGTGTCCGGATACGTGTTATAATAACCGATTAAGATAAACATTATACGGCTAAGTAACCGGTTAAGATAAACATTATACATATCTATGTGTCCGGATACGTGTTATAGTGACCAGTTAAGATAAACATTATACCGCTAAGTAATATTAATAAGATCATGTAGGTTTTTTTTCAGGTCTATAACCGTCGATGGCATTTCAGTTTCCAGCAGAGATCTTATAGATACTGTGAAGAGGACCACGCTGAAATTTATATCAGTTAGAAGTTTTTGTTTAGCTGTTTTTATTTAAAGATATTCGTCTCAGGTGCTCTCAGTTGTAAAGCATAAATTCCGATTAATTAACCGGCTCCAAATGTATTTATCCAATCAGTATAATTTAGCTTCTATCACATATTCATAATTAGTAGCTAACACTGGATATAATTAAGAGATATCATCTTTTTGTATTATGTACCTTCATTCTTACAAATATCATATATGTTGTGGGTGTGGTTGGTTATCACATTTCGTGTTTAGCCGTACCCAAATTTAATCATATGTGTTGTGCTTTGTTATAGAATTTATTCAATGTTTAGCCGACCATGTAGCAATGCTAATATATGGAGGATATAAATGAGTCAAATTATAATCATGTTATCTTATATATCAACCATATAAGTTGTACTCACACCAACCCAACCCAAACTAAAAGTAAAGAAGATAAATACATAAACATATATCTGTTAACCGGCTAAACTAACAAATATACTGCATGAAAATATTTGATTTAAATATGTAAAAAATATATTTGCTAGCCGGCTAAACCAACTAATATTAACGAATGTTAGCCGGCTAAACTAAAAATACGTAAACATTAAAAACTCATGTTAGCTGGTTAATTATTATTTTATCTTTGCGGAGTTTGCTAGCTTGTGCCGTCGCGGTGAAGCTTTTGGTGTCGACAAGCTTGACTTGGGGATGACGATTCTCCAGGACATCTCTCTTTTAGATGTTCAAATTCATTTTGGCCAATAAAGTTCGTAGATTAAATTGAGAAAAAGAATTGAAATCTCCAAAAAAAGAGTTGAGATTTGGATATGTAAAGAAGAAAGAGAGAATGAAGATTGCGTAAAAGATAAAGGAGGGAGAGAGAGAGAGAGAGAGAGAGAGAGAGAGAGAGAGAGAGAGAGAGAGAGAGAGAATCATGATGATCATTATGTATCTTTTAGGTTCCATACGTCAAGAAAACAAGGCATAGGGTCATCACTGTCATTTCGCGTGGTCAAAAACTGAGCTTTATACTTTTTTTCCATGCATGCAAATTGTGAGTCTTTGTAGCATTTGTATGCAAATGCCTCTTCAAAATAATGAATCTTATTCATTATTAATATATATCAAAAATATATTTGATATTCAAAATACTGAATCTTATTCATTATATAAATTATATTATAGTTTATATGTGAAATATTATTATTTACAAAATGTAAAATTTATTTTTAAAATATTAAATTATTTTTGGATATAAACATATCTTAATATTATTAAATTAATTAATTAATTATATGTAATTTATATATAAATCATCATTATTTATTTATTGGTGGAGCAGTAAATGCTTCATATATAAATTTTCATAAAAAATAATATATGTTATGTAATTCATTTATTAGTTTCTAAATAATATATATGTTTATATCTATAATATATAAATATATATTACGTTATGTTTGCTATTAAATAATGAATGATGTGTGTAATTATATAAATTATATTATATTTTAAATATGAAATCTTGTTCTTATAAAATATTTAATTATAATTATAATTATAATTTTTATTCTGAAAACTATAAATTTATTTTTTAATTCTAAAAATATTTTAATATTATTAAATAAAAATAAATAAATTATATATAACTATTTTTTAATCTTTATATATTTCAATTACAACTGCTCTCCTAAAAACTCTATTTGAAAGCATTGAACAAAAAAATATTTGGAAAAATTTAATATTTGATAAAATGTTAATGGTCTATCAATCAAGCCATAAGTCACCGATATGAATACATTTCATTGTAGGACACAAAAAAAAAAGTACACTATATTAGTATCCGTTCCTATATGAACACAACATGTCATCGTAGGACTATATGTTATATTATCCATCTCGGTAACAGACAAACATGTTAATTACGCAGGGCCGGTGATTCACAGCCACTAATTTTCTTAGTTTCTTGTAATTTTATCATTCTAAACGGTTAGACAGTTTGAACTTTCCTTTAGTTTGAAAACTCGGCAACTATGGCTCACCATTGGATGTAAAGCGAGCTTTGAAACATAGTTTCAGTCTAGAACGTCACAGGACTTGTAATAAAATTGAGGTACTAACTGATATTATTCGACACCTGTCCGTCAAGTCAAACAAAAGCGTCAATCCAAAGAAAAAAAAAACACTACGAAACAATCAAAACCTTAACCAAGAAGTAGTTCAACAACTCAGCCTTAGAGCGTCACATAGACGACCGACCCCAAGAAAAACAAATGTAAACAGTTCTGTTCACAAAACAACAACAACACTTCGTGTCCAAACAAGCGCAAATACTTCACAGAAACTGTTAGAAAAGTAGGAGAAATTTGGCCACCAATATTATTAAGCCACCTTTTGTCATTTTTCTACTCCCTTAATTTCTTATTTATATCCTTCATTTAATCTCCAAATACTTCACAAATCAAACAAACAAACACAAATACAACAAAACAAAAAACTCACAAGGATTCTAAACACAGCTGAAGGAAACATGAAAATGGCAATGGGTTTAGTGTTGCTTACAGTTTTGTTGGCTGTGATGTCTTCTACAAGAGTCTCTGCTCAGTCGAGTTGCACAACTGCGTTGATCAGCATGTCTCCCTGTCTCAACTACATAACCGGAAACACTACCTCTCCTTCTCAGCAATGCTGCAGTCAGTTGGGTAACGTAGTCCGTTCTTCTCCTGATTGTTTATGTCAAGTCCTCAACGGTGGTGGCTCTCAGCTCGGGATCAACGTTAACCAAACCCAGGCTCTTGCTTTGCCTAGGGCTTGTAATGTTCAGACTCCTCCTGTCAGTCGCTGTAACAACGGTAAATTACAAGTACAACACTTTATTAAAATTGTTCCAGAACTTGTGAATCTTATGCAGTATTGTCCAATTTTTGCAGGCGGTGGTTCTACTGCTGACTCTCCTGCAGATTCACCAAACTCTTCAGGTAAAATGACTTTAAGCCGATAAGGAACACCATTCTCAATCTCAATATAGTCTCTGTTATCTAATGCATGCATGTTGTGGATCTTTTGTTAGGACCAGGAAATGGATCAAAGACCGTACCAGTAGGAGAAGGAGAAGGAGAAGGACCATCATCAGACGGAAGCTCTATCAAGTTCTCATATTCTCTTCTTGCCTTCCTTTCCGCAGCTTCCTACATGGCAATCTTCTTGAAATACTGAGTTTCCACATCCACGTTTCTCCTGAAACCGATTAAGCTTTTATACCACCTCAGATTGCATTCTTTATTTTTCCCTATTTCTTCACATTTCCTTGTGATTACGTGTGATGTATTTATTCTGTGCTCCGTGAGTCCCTACTCTCCTATGGTGATATTGGATCTCTTTACCATTTTATAATAAATACTACTTTTTCAGAACACAGCTTAAAAGAACAGAACATACCTCTCTGAACATAGATTGCTTTCAATGGTAGCAATTTAAATGTTCTAAATTCTAACTCAAGACCCAGAAATAGCATACACAAAAGAAAGATATCCTTAACGGAGCCTGTGTCAGATTCACATAGCATCAAGGCATGATATGCATTGAGAAGAAAAAAAAACAGCAGAAGGTACGAACCCTGTATATATACCTTGCTACCATTGCATATCACTGGAGTAGATTTGTCTTCACAGCTCAAGCTAAATGGAAGGTAGAAGCTTCCTCACCCATTTAACGGCTAGTCTTCTTGAAACACAGAACTTCGACCTGTATCAATACAAATTAAGACGAAGATAACCATGAGGTCTTTTGTTTACCCCCATTTATTAACAAAAAGGGTTTCAAGTCTCTGAATCTTGTGAATGCCATGAAAATCTGATATAATAATACATAAAAATTTATTAATAAATATATCAACATTTAGAGAGGCCAAGTTACACTTCAAACAGAGCTGATGAACCATTTAACTCACCATTAATAGAAAAAACAATCACATTGCATAACATGCTCACTATGTTTATCTTGCTAATGTTACAGAAGGTATAAAGATAATCAGAAACAAGAATGAAAATACATAAAGTGACTTTCTACAGCTGCTAGATGCTAAGAATGTGACCTAGACCGAACAAACTCCTCAAGTTTTTCCCAGACTTCTAATGCTGCTGCCCGGTCTTGATGCCGCTTATTCTTACTGATCTGAAACACACAGAAGAAGCTCCTCCTTTCAGTAAATCATATAAAGATAACAGCAACAATATAAAAACAGTACAAAAGAGGTGTGTTATTTAACTCACCGAGATAATCTTCACATTCCACTGCTTCACCGTCTTGGCTGATTCAATACTATCATCTTCAAACCGCAAGAAGAACCCAATAACTGCAAAACCAAAACCACACAAGATTATTCACTCATTCAAATTTCAATCACATAAAGATTCAAACTTTATTTGTCACTTACTCTTGTTGAAAATCTCAACATGGTCCTTGAAAGGCCAATCCTTGAACTGCCAATCCTTCCCCAAAACAAAAACGGCAACGACACGGTCCCAATCATCAGGCTTCAAAGCAGAAGGCTTATCCCTAACCTCATAAGCAGTGACAACCCTCTCCCTATCTCTACTAAACTTCTTCTGAACCGTAATACAATCAGGCTTAACCCCTTTCATCTCCTTAGCCTTAACATCATTCGGTATATAAACCCCATCCTCAAGAAACTCCTTCACATTGTAAATAGTAATCAGCGTCTGAAACGCACTCGGCACAAGAATAATCGGCACACCTTCCCCAATCTTCCTAAGCTTAGACTTAGGGTTAGCCTCATAACCAGAATCATCACCTAACCCTACAATACCTCTCTCCTCAGCACCCATCAACCTACTCTTTGCAACTAAACCGTCTTTCCTCTGATGAGACTCAATCCTCTGCCTCTCCTCCTCCCTCTTCGTCGAATTCACCAACACACTGTAGAAATCTCTGTTCCTGCACTCAAGAATCGCGTCTCGGCTCTTCAACGGCCTCTCGTTGGACCGAATCAGCATAATGTAATCAACGTCCTCGCCTGATTTAGCGTAACCATCGACCTCTACGAGGGCGTTGCTTTCTCGGGAGACGAAAGCAGAGTTGTCTTGATCGGGTCTGTACTCTTCGTTCTGCTTCTGGCTCTGCGCGTTCTGTTGCTGGAGCAAGAGGTAGTCGATTGAGTCGGAGGAGGCGACTCTTCCGGTGAGGTAATCGAGGAGAGGTTTTCGATCTGGGAGTGTGACGGCGGGGACGGAGTTTTTGACGGTGGATTGCATGTACTCTCCGAGTTTGAGGTGGTGGTTCTTCACGTAGTGGACTAACGCTTCGAGAGTGTAGAGGGTTCCTCCTTTGGATCTGTAGGCGGTCTCCGTCGCGCAGGGGAAGGAGTAACCCGATCCGAATCGGTAATTGGCTCCGACCCGTTCGATTTTGTCTAGGTCTCCTCGGGTTGTGAAGTCCTTCAGGACCGATAACGGATCCATGGCTAGAGAGAGAGATTGTGATTTCGATCTTAGGGTTTATCTTTCAGCTTCGTGAGGAAGAGAGAGTAAGAGTAATTTTGAGATGTGGATCCGAAAATAATATAGGCTAGAGAGAGAGAGAGAGAGAGAGAGATTGTGATTTCGATCTTAGGGTTTATGGTAATATAAGCTCAACAGAGATGAGTGAGGAAAAGAGGAAGAGGGTAACTTGTAATTTTGGAGATGTGATCGGCGCAGAACATAGTGGCCTTTTTAAGCCCAGTAGACTTATCTTGGCTTAGAGCACCCGCAACCACGAGTCCTTAGGAAGAATTCTTAGGAAAATATTAATTTTATAATCAATGGGTCCCATGAATAGTTAAGGATTCTATCCTTAAAATTCATATTTAAGGATTGATCCTTACACTATTCGCGGGCTCCACTGTCCACGTGGCGGCCCGTGAATGGTCAATTTTTTTTCTTTTAAAGAAAAAATCTGAAATATCCTTATATAATCCGAAATACCCCTTTTTCTTTTTCCTTAAGGATTTTCCCTAAGGATCATTGTTGCGGGTGCTCTTAGAATTTATGCTACGAAGTAGTCCTGCGGTTTTTGCCCGAACAGCCCAAACCGCACCGAACCGATATTTTATGATTTCCCGTTATGTTTCTGAGTTGGTTTAGTTTGGTAAGTTTTTGAAAATTGATTCGTTCGGTTTTATTTTTTAATAATCGAAATTATCCAAAATAACCAAGTTTTTAAGAAAATACACTAGTTCTAACCATAAAGAACTTATAGATTATGGAAACTCCCTTGATCCAAAAATTTGATTAAAAGTTCATTAATATTTTTATACCAGAAAGTAGGCATGGGCGTTCGGGTACCCGATGGAGTTCGGATCGGGTTTTTGGATTTTCGGGTTTTCGGGTTTACGTTCATAGGTCCCATTCTAATATTTTACTAGTACGGGTCGGGTTCGGATAATAACACTTCGGATTCGGTTCACATTTTTATTGCAGCATAAAACCAGTAAAGTAACCATATATCGTTCGGATTCGGGTTATTTCGGTTCGGTTCGGATATACCTGAAGTATAAACAAAATTTTGAAACAAAAACATAAAGAAAAACACTGAAACTGAATATAAATTAATCATACATACATAAAATTGATAAAAAAATGCTAAATCAGTCATTAAAACATACATCACTTGTAAACAATGTGCATTACCTTACATATAAACTAAATTTATTATTTTAATGAACAAATTACAAAGTACTTATTTATAACTAATTATATATTTAAGGTATTTATTTATATTTTAATATTTATTGTATGTATCATATCAAAATAAACATTAAACTGAATATCTAAAATATTTATATATATATATATATATGTTTAAAATATTTATATTAACTATTAATTTCGGATATTTCGGGTTACCCGTTTGGGTTCGGTTAAATAACACTTTGGGTTTGGATTTTTTTATACCATCCTATAAGACCCGTTCGGGTATTTTTATATTTCGGGTCGGATAACGGGTCGGGTTTTTCGGTTTGGGTTCGGTTCGGATTTCGGGTTTCAGATTTTATGGCCAGACCTACCAGAAAGTCTAGACCTAGAGAAGATGAAACTATGCGAACTAATATAGAAAAAGTTTATAAAAGATAATACAAATGAGTACACTCAAGTGTAGATTCTATAGGATGGTTCAAATGATACAGTCAAACATGATTATATATAAGGTAAGTATAATTATCCATATTATTAAAAATCTGAATCATGTCTCATTAATATTAGTTGAGTCCAATTTTAAAAATAACTGCATATAAATTAACAATTTCTATTAACAAATAACTTTATGCAACTGTAATATTCTTTTTTGTAAAATTAACCGTAATATTCTCTTTTGGTAGAACTAACCTGTAATGCATGTTTTTCATATTAACCGTACGTTAAACCGCGAACCATTAATCAACTTGTGCTGTTGGCGTCACCCAATCAAGTATCAAATGTTAATATACGAATCCCCTATATATTAATTGAGAAACATTTGAAAAGATGTAACCTCAAGTTTGTATTAATTAAAAAGTAACATTGCTTAGTTGTCAATCAATTAGCATATCAATTAAACTGACGTGGCGGCTTTAGGTTCAATTGAAATTTGCTAGGGAAAAATAATTAGAGACGCATATAACGCATGTAACATAGTTTATATATTTAT